GCTTGCAGCGGAAGTTCATGGAACCATTCTCCTTCAGGACATTGGAACATGCATCAACAAGTTTCTGAGACACCTTTTTCCATGCGACAGACAATGAAGCTTCTTCCACGACAATGTCGCCAATTTCAACCCCATGCTCCTGATTGTAGGATAAAATATTATCAAGGTCTATATGAGAAGAATCAACGTCCGAGCGGATGCAATTGAATGTCTTGGAGAAATTCTTCTCACTTAAACAAGACAATACATCATCTCCAAGAGGTGGGCAGGGATTTGAAAGAAGGATCTCAACACTAGTGTCGTCATCATCATGCTCTTGAGTACTGTCTCTATGATCACCTCGTTTGTTAATGTTCTGTTCCACTATTTCTTCAATCTTTGGGCAGGAGAAGACAGTTGATCCAATTGGAATAAATGATTTAGAGCATGATGACCGTGTAACCTTGAAAACAGGTCCAGAACTGCCATCAGATACTTCACACATAAATAGAGACCCTGTGATCTTATCATGCCAGCAGGACTTATAACCTATTGGATAAATCATGTTGACATCGTGGTAAGACTGTCTTATATCAATTCGTCCAAGCGACAGAACAAAGAAATCTTCAAACTGCATCGGAAGTCCATTCTGAAAATCAAATACACAAACATGAGGATTAAATTTTTTTAAAAAAATTAACCAGTAAAGATTTAACGTTTACACTTACATTAGTTTCCTCACAACCACATCCATTATTTCCAGAGCTGAGAGATTCACCAGCCTGAAAAGGAGTTCCAGATTTAATGCCAAAAGGGAACATCGTCTGACCATTGAAAGGAAAACGCCTAAGCTGAGCACTCACTGAACTGCCCTTTTGCTCAGGGAAACCATTGTTTGGCCATCTTGATGTCTTTCTTCTCTTAGGCATATGCAATCTTTCTTGAAGTAGAGAACTCTCATTCCTGATTTCAGCATCCATACAATTGTAATTACCATTAATTGCCAAGCCCAGATAACAAGCAACATCTTGTACAGAACTAAATGTTTTTCCATTCGGAGCACAATACACTGCACATAGATGATAACCATTTAAAGGTTGTCTAAATTCGACACGCCAACCATCTTCTAATACTCCGTGCCTTTCAGATATGAAATGCCTGAGATTTTGCAGAAGCAGCTCACTTGGATCCAATGATGGAAATCTCGTGGGCAAACTACTGTTGCTCAGGCGTAATGGGAAGCCAAAACCTAAACTATGTGAACCCAATGCATCCATATTCATTTTGGTATTACGAGCCATTATCCCTGAAGCTTTGAGATTAGCATGTCCTCTGGCAGGACTTAAAAAACTTGAATGCGTCATTGCATATTCAAAAGAGTTTCCCATGCAAGAACTGCTGGCCAGCATATGCTTTCTGGAGAAGAAGGAACAAGGAAGCACAGGACCAATCAGTGCTTTATAATTTCCTCTACTGATATTCTTAGACAAACCCATGTTCATGAAGAATACAAAAGGCCGGACAAACAAAGTCCTATCAAACAAAATCTAAACAAATGACTGAAAAAGAAAGACCGAGATCTCCTACAAGGTATAGTCGTAAAATTCATCAAAAGCTATGATGTGTATAGAAAGCCTCGGCATGCACAGAGAGTACATAAGAGTCAAGATCAAAGGCTACTAAAGAACTCTCTTGAACAACAGCTACTATACCAATAATCCTTTACCGCTAATTGGATTCGGAAACCTAAATTCAACTACACCAAATCCTATTCAAGCGAGTTCTTCAGTAGCTTCTCACTTTCCTTTTGATACTGTCAGTCCATATGCATGTAAAGAAAGCTTAACAAAGTTTTGCTTATATGTTCTCGATCTTAACCAAAATTCAATTCCTATAAACCCTAACTCATCGTCGGAAAACAAAACCACGGCTACGTACCTCGAATCTGACGTCTCTTCGCCTCCGTATCCCTCCGCATCACTCGGCGGCGAGGCGTTCATATCCAAAATGAGCTTTGACTTCACCCCCAACGGCCACAGTTTGCTTCTCTCGCCGCCGTTAACACAGTCGTTACACATCCAATCGGCAGAAGGAGCCGCCTCCACTCCGTCGTTAACGCAACATACATGAAACCCTCGCTCACAAGCATCGCAGACTACAACGAGCTCCATCGACTCCAGTCTTCCGCACGCGCCGCACGCTGCATCCCGATCCGGTCCAGGAACCTCCGCAGGCGCTCCAGGCGCTGGGTCCGGATTATCATGAATTGACCTAACAACTTCAACAGGCTCGTACTCTGCGTCGTCGTCTTGACCAGCGGTGCAACCACCGCTGAGAGTAGCGCCGGTAGGGATTTCGTTGAGATCGATGCCGAGAAAGGAGCGATTATCGTCCTTGACGGCGGCGCTCATGGTCTCTCCGAGTTGTTCGTTGGTGGAATCAGTTAGTTCCATTATTCGATTAGGTTAATGGAATCGAGCATTGTTTACATTGAAGACGATAGAAGAAATTGAAAACTTGCGAGAAAGTGAGAAAAAAGGTTTTCTTATTAATTTCCTTCTCCACTTTTCCCGAAGTTCTGTTTGGAGAGAGAAAGAGAAACCAAAAAAAAAACGTGAATTATCTTTGCTTTTTTTTGTGTATGTTTTTTTTTTGGTCACAAAAAGGCTTAATATCATGAGAAATGTTTTTTTAATTATTTTTGTTCTTCTTATTCTTGAAGTTTGGTGATTGTTACCTACAAATAAAATTTACTACTAAAAGAAAATGAAAGAAAAATGGTAAATAAGATCCAGTGATATGATTCAAGATACTTATTTAGATTGAAGATAAAATTTAGTGTTATCTTTGTGGGGTGTAAGAAGAAAATGGACCTGAGTAGTCAAATATGTTGTTACTGTGTCAGAAGAAAGGTAAAGAAATTAAAAACCATTGGCATCACGAGGAAAGTAACACAGAGAAGGTGTAATAAACACGTTAATGATACTATATCATTAATCTTTTTATTATATTTTTAATATTAAAGCAGTT